GCATTTTTGCATTGCCTGTCTTAGCTGCCTATAAGTGTGTAACCTAGTTGTAGACTATATCTAGTTTGTCCTGTAAATTAGTACTTTTATATTTGTTTGAACAGAAGAGTCTATGTAAAAGCTCACCATCATGGAAATTAGTTCCTGTAAATACATGGAAAGAGTTTACTTTGTTTTTTTTTAAATGACAGTTTTCCAGAATGATGCCAAGAAAAAGAAGGCAGTTAATTCCATTAAATGCTGTCCAGAGTAAACCTGACTTCTCTCCAGCTGACACCTCTGGGAGCCTGACAGTTGTTCTTGATGGGAATTCCTCTCCAATAAGCAGCAAATACTTCTGTGAAGAGAAGAGGACATCTTCTCGGCTAGGAACAGACTTTTTCAACCAACCCTGCATCAGCCTGGCTAAGTCATTTCTAGGACAGGTAATTGACACCAGGAGTCATGTCCATGCCAACAGGCTTATTTTGTGGTACAGCACACACCAACCAACAACATCAATTGTTGGACCATAATTGCATCCTTTCGCTAGGTTTTAATTCCAAAGCTGTCTGATGTTCCAGGAAATTTGGGTTCACACCTGCTCTTTGTGAACTCATTGAGACTTTTGGGAACAGAGTCGGCCCCATTTTGGTTGCATAAACAGAATCAGTTTCTTATCAGATCAATTTTCTGTTGCATTTTGCATTAAGCTTATTCTGAAACTTATTATTTTTAATCTGGTTTATTCACTGAAATGGAATTTGTGACTGGTCCAGGACTATTCTTCTTGTAACGGGTATTCCTATAGGTTGGCTTTATATTTTTTTTTGCTAGGTAGCATACTGGACAGTCACTGGCCTGGGACTCAGTCCTGGGTTATATTTCTAGCTCTGGCCTGCTGTGTCATCTTGGGCTGGAAATAGCACTATGTAAGGGTTAAGGATTATTATTATTCTATAATATGTAAGAATAGTTACTTCTCTCTGGAAACCCACTCTAAACTTTATGCCTTCTTTCCTGCTGCCTTGTATGCTAAGAACAGCCTCTCACTTAATATAATCAAGCTCTATCCTCTTAAGAGGCAAATATTGCCTCTTTCTTTGCAGACGTGAAGGGTCTTGACTGCAGCTAAATCAGCATGGGTTGATCCTACTAAAAAGACAAGGTACATGATTTTACCCTTCCTTGTGTACCACTTAATTGTGTCCATTGGGGGTCCCTTTACATTAGTACACAGTGTGTTTTGCCGTGCAGGCCATGGGTGTCACAGGAGAGGGGCTGTGGGATATTTAACTATGCACATCCATTAGATATTCTCCACCTGTAGGCAGTGGGGGGAGCACAGAGACTGTGATCGCATCTGCATAGTATTTTCATGGCCTTCCCCTGAGGGACAAGAAATCCCTGTCACATGGCTCAATTAAATTAGTTGTATTCTTTAGCTAGGAATTAGCCCTTAAATTTCTAAAACTCCACACACACATCTTAAAGCATTCCAAAGGTCTCAGCTTGTGTGTGCTCTGTATTGCACCTGCTGTTCCTCTTGAATTTTTTTTAAAGTCATAGAAACATTTCTGTCAATCTTAGATTTGGTAAACATTTTGAAGTTTGTCTTACCAAACCTAAACTTTAGGCCATACTTTGCCTGACAGTAATTCTTTAAAGTGCATTTGGACATACTAGTATGTCCTGTCAATAGGACACACATCTAAACAGAACAGAATACACCCAGGGATATTTTTCATATATTCTTTAAAGTGCATTTGGACTTACTAGTATGTCCTGTCAATAGGACACACAAATCTAAACAGAACAGACTACACCCAGGGATATTTTTCATATACACCATAGGTTGAATCTCCCTGGTCCAGAATTCTCAGAACCTGACCGGTCCTGAATGATGGATTTTGCCAGACCATTGGAGGTCAATTCCAGTACCTCTGCTGATGGAATCCAGGCTCCACACCCCCATTTGGCTCCTCTGCTGGCCAATCTGGCTCCTGTCCTGGCCACTGGCCTGGCTGCTGGGCTTCCTGCTCGTGCCCTCAGCTGGGCTGCGATGCTGGCTCTGGCTCCCCCCCTGGGTGGGCTCTGCTACTAGGTCTGGACCTGGCCATCAGGCTCCCCTCTGCTGGCTCTCTGCCTCGGGGCTGACTCTGCTGCCAGCCCCAGTGCTAGGCTCCAGGCTCCTCTTCTCATGGTTCTCTGGTCCTACAAAGCCCTGGTCCACAGAGGGTCAACCTGCAGTGAATGAGGAAATTTCAGGAGGCTAGTTAAGGGCATTTGCTTATTTTTCCACCAGGAGAATCCCTTGTCTTTATTCCAGTTCAGTGAATTGTTTTTGGTGTCATGGAGGACAAAATGCAGACTGTGTTTAACAATCACCGGTGGAAAAGGGATGTGTGTCTTGAGTGACTTTCTTTGTGCACATTTGGGGTTGCTGACCAATCAAGGAAATGACTGTGTGAATCTTAAAACCACAACTCAATTCTCAGCATTTAATTTGTTTAAAAGAGAAAGTCAGCCATGTGTGCCTCATGCGTCTGGAGGTTTTAAAGCTGTCCCTATTCTGTATGACTGTGTTCACAGATCATGACTTCAGATTGGCCAAACAATTCTGAAGCCTTTCTATGCATATTTCATGATTGAAAAATGGTAATCTCACTAATTGATAACGTGGGAGTTGTTAAAAACAGATTCCAAAATGCAATAGTTGTGATGTTTGATGCAGATTTCTGGCAAATCTATTCTTGGATCAGGCCAACAATTGCTTTAAAAATTCAGCAGAAACATCTGGCAGGAATTAAGCTTTCTGCTTCATGAGAATCATTCCAAAATAACTTGTTTTTAAATATGGGAGTGCAGAATGTAGTATAATTAAACAGAGTTTGTGTCCAAACGAGGCTACACTGAAGTATTTCATAAACACACTAAATAAAACAAGATGTCTGGAAACAACATTAGCTCAAAGCACAAAAAACAGTGTGTGTATAGATTTTGCTTATGTTCTTCTGTCATTTTACAATTATTTTCACCATTCTCTACTTCTTCACCTACATTGTGTTATTTCCTAAGTGCCAGCAGCAGGGAGCCTATTTCAATAGTGAAGTTTTGTCAGGTTGTTGCCCAGCATCTCCTTGCTGTATGTTGTGTACTGTGGAAACTGTAAAAATATCATTCATACCCTGATTGATTGTGTCCAGCTGGGGACCAGGCCTTGGTACTAGTCTTGGTAAGACTGTGTCTAATGAGGAAGTTATTTAATCATATTTGTTGTCATATTTTCCTCTGAATTCAATAGTTCACATGTAATGATGTGCTGAAGTTGTGAGTTAGTCAGTGTCAGTGACTTGACAGGTGGCACTCTTTGCTTCAGCCAATAAACATGTTGGATGGAACAAAAACAAGTGGGCAGCCTGGAAAGAATGACCTTATTTTATGACTATTTATTACGATAAATGTGTACTGCATGATACAGTCACATTGAGAAAAATGGAACATTTGTTCCCTCCAGCATTTTGATAGGTAAATGACCAAGTGACTCGATCCTTGGACTAAAGTGTGATGCAGAATGAGAACTGGAAGAGCTCACCTTGGTTTTTAGAGCGAATACAAAGCACCCATTATGTCATGACTCTGTATTTCTTACTTCTCATGCTTTTTCCAGTGACCCAGGCTGTGTCTACACTACAGGGAGTATTTTGGCATAGTTATATTGGTGTAGTTGTGCCAGAAAAGCCTTGTAATGTAAGTTTAGCCCACCCCAATGGAGGGGATTTTTCAGTGCTTGTAGGAACACCAGCTCCCAAAATAAAGTTAACTTCTGTCAGTATAGCTGCACCTACATTGAGGCATAGCTTTGTCGGTCAGGGAGGTGTGTTTTCTTCAGACCCCTAATGTAGCTATGTTGACCTAATGAAAAGGTTCCTTACTTAGGTACTCTCTAACACACTTTTGACCTGTCTTTCAGATTTTAGTTCATAAACTTCCAGATGGCAGAGAACTCCAGGGAAGGATTGTGGAAACAGAGGCGTATCTGGGTGGGGAAGATGAAGCTTCCCATTCAAAGGGAGGGAAGCAAACTGCAAGAAATGCAGCCATGTTCATGAAGCCTGGAACCCTGTATGTGTACCAGATCTATGGGATTTATTTCTGCATGAATGTTTCCAGCCAGGGTAAGTGAGGACTTAACAGTTACAATGATTATGGCATAAGGTGCTTCCATAGTGCGGATATTCATTCTTGCCCTGACTCAGCTAGTTCTGAGCTTCATATAGACGCTTAGTTTGCAAAGCCAGTTTCTATTGCCACCTTTGACTTGATGCTTCTGTCCATGCCGTAAAGTTAAAAACAACCCTGGAAGACAAGGCCTCTTTAAAGTTAGTGTTGCCATCAGCAACTAGTTATTACACAGATTGTGCACAATGCCTGTCTCTTATTACACTGTATGGATAGGATCTAGCACAATGGGGACCCAATCTCAGTTGAGGCCTCTAGGCAGCACTGCTATAAATACAACAACATTTGAGTCTCTAAGATAGAATGTGTGTTTGCCGAACTTTTACTTGGATGAATTTAGAAAACTCTTAGTGTAAATATCCTGAGATGCTACTTCATATTTGCAACCTTAGTGCTAGACAACACTGAAGGTGATTTTTGGTAAATCTGTTTACACACTATGAGGCTACAATGTAGCGTGTAGGTTCCTTGCAGTTACTGCTGAAAATATAAAAAAGCAGAATATAATGAAGGCATGGCAGTGATTATAATAAAGGCAAGCTATCCCTATGGGCTATAACAAGATCTCATGTCTGGTGAAATGATGGGAAATTTGTGCC